GGGTTTTATGTTTACGCGGCGCGATGCAACGCAACGCGTAAAAAGACAGTATAAGTCATTATAATCCATAATTATGTCCCCACTGGATGCAACGAATGCCTCGTTTATAATGGGTTTTTATGTTTTTGAATCATCGCTCCAGTCTGACAGGGCATCATCACAGTATGGTGGTATGTGGAAAAGAATGTGTTTTTTGGACCTTAAACCGCATAAACACATTTCATTACACCAAATACACAAAATAATGTTCTTTTTAGCAACATCATATGACCCCTTTAAAAAGTAAGTTTAAAAGAAGGTTAGAATGTTGGAGGGAAATTTCACGAGTTTGAAAATGTTTGGAAGAAAAAAAAAGAAAATTCTACATTTGAAAAAGTAATTTGTAAAGGCCAAAAAAGTAGGGCTGGGTTTTGACACAAATTTCACAATTCGATTCGATTCTCATTCACAAGCTTGCAATTTGATTCGATTCGATTACAGATTCGATTAGATTCAATATCGATTATTTTGGATAAATATCAGGTACAATACATACCAAATTTTCTCAAGGAAAAAAAAATCTCTCAACTAATGATTAATGTGGAGATGATCATTTCACGTGCGCCTTGCGCTGCCGCGTCTGTTGAACTGAGGCGCAACAGCTATCTGTCACTTCACATTAAACAGCGCCAAAACGGCATTTATCGTTTAAATACTGCAATACAATGGACAGAATTTGAAATCTGAGACTTTGTTTCATATTAAAAGTACCAAAGCACAATGCTTATTGCGATTTATTGGATGGGAAGTCCCCTTCAATGTTCCGTCCCTTAACGGAAATCAGGCTAGACTAATCGATTCTTGGGATTTAAGAATTGATATCATTCCGTAAAAACGAAAATCGATTAATATCGAGATATCGATATTTTTTACCCATTCCTACAAAAAAGGCTAGAAAGACATTTTGTAAGTTGTACAATGTTTGAAAGTTCATTCAAAGGTTTTAAGTCAAAACTAAAAGTTCTAAAAATGTAAAAGAAACTAATTTTACCTCTCCTCCATTCACATACTCCATAACAAAACATAAACGATCCTTCGTCTGAAATGAGTACTTCAGTGACTGCAGAAAAGAGAACAAACAATTCAAAATTTCTCTTTTCTTTTTTAAACACAGGGGAAAAAACACAATTAGGTTTCTTTTAAATGCTTGTGGAGTGAATAAATGTTACGCCGTCACTCACAGTTAGAAACGGATGCCTAGTGTTCTTCAGAACTCTGCTCTCGGTGAGTGTGTGAGCAACTTCATCCTGAAAGAGAGAGAGACAGACAGAGATGTTCATTTCAGCGGACGCCCATCGTTTCTCACTTCAGTCCGTTCTCAGAGAATCACTTCTCGTACCTTGGCAACAATAACCTCCTTTCTCAGGATCTTCATTGCATAATATGTGCCGCTGGCTTTCTCTCGCACCAGAATCACCTTCCCAAATGTGCCTTTTCCCAGCAGCTTCAGATAGTCAAAGTCATTCATTGTCTGTCAAACAAGAGAGAGACGTCAGAAGGAGCAGCTGCACGTTAAACCACGTCGAGCCGCCTCTCTGGCTCGGGCTCTACCTTTCGTTTGTGATGACTGGTTGACGTGTCCATCTCTTCCTCGTTGACGTTTTCGATCTGAGAGATGGGGCTACACAGGATTCCTTCCTCTTCCTGTTTGGCCAGCTTGTCTGCCACCATCTGAATGGCCTCGACCCACTCATCCCTGGTTACCAGGAAAACAAAAGTGCAATCAGTTGTGATAGAGCGATACATCGGCCAGGCAAAAAGTGCTGGCAAAATGAGTAGTAATGCGCACAGGCTAATTTTGAGCTGCGGGCAAAAAAAGAGTGAAAAATGTCGATTTTGGTCGAATTTGAGATTTTCACAAAAATTCCTTCAATAAGCCCTTATCTAGTGATCTCAGTGCCTCAAATAGTAATTAAACATCTAAAAGTATATTTTTTCTGAGTACACATATACAGATTTATACAGTAGGCTAAATATATTTAAGCATTCACACAAACATAATCGGTTATATCTTAAGTGAACGTTTGGGGAAAACCGTTGGATGTGTAAGATTATGTTAGATCTGTGCATTACACTATGTCTTAATATAGACTGTCTGTCTCATTAACGTTGATCAAAAAAGAAAAGAAAAGAGGAAATCATTCGCTGCTTGATTGAACTGCTTTTGCAGTTTTAATAATCAATTTTTTTTAATAAACACTCAAGTGATTTTTACATTTTACTATTTGTTTTTCTTACTTGAACGCTTATGTTTAGATGAGGGTCAAAGACGTTAAGATGTCCGCATCAAAAGAAATGTACAAAAGTGATTTTATGTCCATAGAAAGCACATTAAATGTAAGTAAAGTGTCTACTTTTAAGGTTTCAAAAACGTTTTTGGAGAATAAAATGTCAAAATTTAGTTGAAATAATGTTACATTGTCATTCAGTGTAACACAATATTTATGTAAAAATTCAAACAACATGCTTATTCTGACGTGTACATATTAAAATATATAAAAGAATAAGGGAGCATATTAAATTTTATTGTGTTTTCAATGAGTAAAAAATTCTTACTGACAAATGGGCAAAACCTAGGATAGTGGCACATTTTAAAAATGTAAAATTACAACTAATTAGTATTTGGGGTGAAAGTAATTAGTCCTTTAATATGTCATAAATTGATTTTTGTTGTAAATATGCCTGACAAGATTGTTACACTGAATGACATTGTAGTGGGTGTCTTCTGTAAATCAGGGGAAAATATATGATATTTATTTTTTGCTCAGAAAAACAAAAACAAAAATACAATTACATTAAACAGAAAACTTTTTAATTTTTCTTTTTTTTGAAAAACAACAATTTAAAGCAGTATTGTTTTTATGCTTAAATCCTTTTTCGTCTTTGACCCATGAGCATACGTGATACACTTGTTTCTTTCTTATATTGGTTTATTTTTTGCATCGGTTCTTATTTATAACAACAAAGATAAAATAAAAAATAGCCATATTGTGATTACTAATCTAGTAATGGCTATTAAGGAAAGAAGTGGGGGAAAAGATGTTCCAAGGTGATTTTGTTTTGGAACCTTCAGAAAACTTTAAATCAGTTTTTCTCTAAATTGACTTTGCTGACTCCAACTTCAAGCAGGTGTAGCTCAGTCATTTTTCGTCCAATTCAGAAATTAAAATAAAATAAAAATAACCGATTTTTGAATTATTATTATTATTATTATTTATTCACTTTTTAACGCCATGCCAGCATCAAGGCTATTTTCATGGCGATCTCTGAATAAATTATACAAGGTATACAATTAACAAAAGGTTCTAAAAAGACATTTCAAATCTACACTAGACAAAAATTCTAAAATACATTCAGGTGATACATTTTGAAATAAATCAGTTAAACACACCTCTGAATAAAACCGTTGTCTATTTACATTAAAAACAGTACAATCCAATAAAATATGTTTACTCGTTTTTGAAAGTTTGCTCATTGTGACCAAGCGGCAACCTCCCGCTCTCTCTCGTTCTGCATAATTAAGGGCGTGGCCACTTGAGTGACAGGTGGATTGCCGCTGCTGTCACCACCGTCGCGCTAGGTGGGCGTGGCTTCAGCAACCTGCTCCCGCCTCTTTGTCCATTTTCGATTATCCGGGAGTGACGCGCTGCCAAGATGGCGACGGCCGCCTCCGCCCACTTTTGAGCTTCAAAAACGCTCTTCGGAAATCTACGGGTGACGTCACGGACACTACGTCCATGTTTTTATACAGTCTATGATTGTGACAAATTTTTCCTGCACGGGTCATATTTAGATTTTTACTAAAGCTGCTAGTGCATGTTAAACATAATTTGATTTGGGCGTGTGGTACCTCTCGTCAGGCGTGTCCACGTGAAACGTGCGCTCGATAACAGTGGTCCACTGCAGACACCTGATGATGAAGGTGTTGGGCTTCGGTCTCTCCGTCTTCATCAGCTGACACTCTGACCAATGAGGAGGAGGAGGAAAATGCACGTTGAATAATGGAATTCATGCATGTGCAATAAAGATGTCATCATCTCAAATTACAGCGGCAGACTCGTGTTGATGACGTCAGCATGTGACGCTCTAATTAAATCAGTTTGCTTCGAATGAAGGGAGTCATGGATCTGGAGAACAGTAAAACTGATCTGATGGGTTTACTAAGAACACCACACACTGATATCATACATTTAAAAAGTGCAGGGCAAATAAACTAAAAAATTTAAATAAATAATTTATCTCAAAACACTGGTAGAAAATCTTGAGGTTGATCACTCGTTATTTATTTTATTCTGACAGAAAACATACACGAAGTAAATATTTTCCTTGATTTTTCATATTTTTCCCCCCCACAGTATTAATGGGTCATTATAAAGCAGTGTTATTTTAGTATCACTGAGATACTATTAAAGTTTTGAATTTTTTTTTTGTTTTTGTTTTTTTTAGCTATTAAATTTTAGTCATTTTTGTGTTTTTTACATTTTTATTAGTTTTTGTTTTTTATGTTTATAAATTTTTATTTATCAGTTCAAATTTTAGTACATAATGTTAAACTAAATGAAAATGAGAACGTTCTTGTGGCAAACAGCTTAAATAAGTTTCATTTTGGTTCAAGTTTATTTAATTTTTCATGTATTTTTTCATTTTGGATTAATTTTATTCCATTTATTTTATGTGAAATTTATTTTATTTCATTTAATTTTTTATGGTTTTATTTAGTTAACAAGTCATTGTATTTTAAGTTTATTTTATTTTTCATGCCTTTTTTCATCCTGGTTTAGTTTTATTCAATTTATTTTTTGTGAAATTTATTTTAATTTTACTTCATTTTTTATGGCTTTATTTAGTTATTGTATTTTACGTTTATTTTACTTTTCATGTATTTTTTCCATCTTGGTTTAATTTTATTCAATTTCTTTTTTGTGTTATTTTGTACTTCATTTTTTATGGTTTTATTTGCAGTTAACTACAATAACCCTGTTTAAAATGAATGAAAGAGACTCACTGGCCACAGAGAAGTTGTTGAGTGGATAAGCCAGATCTGCATCTTGCGGCTTCTCTTTATATCCAATAAACGACCCATCCGTCTTTAACAGGAAGTACCGCGGTCTCCAGTTCTTAATGTATTCACCTGCAAAACCAATAAAACCCCCACACGATCAAGCACACAGAAAAACACTAACACATGCAATACTCACAGACACAGCAGCATAACACAATCAACAAATGAAAACACTAGAGCCCGACCGATATGGGTTTTTTGAGGCCGATACCGATATTAGGGAGTAAAAAAAAAAAGGCCGATATCGATATATCGGCCGATATTCTTTGTGTATATTATAGCACAGTACCAGTCAAAAGTTTGGACACTTTCCCATTCATGTGTCCACACATTTGACTGGTACTATATATAGAATACAGTATATACATAAACAGAATATATATACATAAACA